AACGAAAATAAATAAAGTATACAAAAAAACGAAAAATAAAGTTAAAAAACCATATTGTGTAGTTTTTTCTGCAAACCTCAGGGACTAAATTTGAACTTTTTAGGACTGATAATTTTGCAAGAAAGTTGTGGCCATAACAATAATAAAAATATTTTGGCTTTTTCCAATTAAACGTTAAAAATTTAGAGCTTTTATAATATTTGTCCTTTATTATATGTTAAATTTGAAGTTATAACTAACTTTAAAATTTTGGTATATATCTCTTAATTAATAATTTATTTAAAATTATTTATTTAAAATTATTTATTTAAAATAATTGATTAATAATTATGATTTTTTGGTATGAAAATTGAATTAATTTTATAACCGTAGTTCTCATAGGTTATAAACTACTATCTAACTAGATTATGACCCGCGTAAAATGCGGGGAACATATAAAAATGTACATATAAAGGTATAAAAAAATTGGCACTATAAAAAAATAAAGTAACAGAAACAGACTTAGCATTATTGGTAACATTGAAATGTCTGGAAAAAAAACAATGAAACACCTAAATATCTATAATCGTTGAAGGATCTCTTTGTAGACATAACTTTTTGTTTTATTAGTTGGATGGTCTTCTTCGTCATATATGAGTAACTTCAATCCTTTTTCACTTGTGACGCGAGAAACAAAAAACATATAACTGACAATGAGTGAAGACGAGCATACGCAAGTATAATCCAACATTTGATAATTATTGTCATTGATTTTTGTTAATGGTCATAACAAAATAAACAACTATGGGGAATTGTCTCCGCTAAAACGGAATGGGATTCTTTTATTAGACGAAGTTAACCTGCCTTCGCTAAAAACAGAATGAGATTCTTCTTACTATGCTTCTCGGCATGCCCGGACAACGCAAGTTAACCAAAAAAACCCTGCTAATTAACCAAAATTAATCAATCCCAAACATTTTCCAATAAGATTTATCGATGTAATCTATTTACATGATATACTAAAACTTTGTCTTTTCTTTGCTATTGAGTCTAAAAGATGTTTTTTTTTCTAATATTAAAAAAGGATAGGTGAATAACTTATTTCTGAGAGCCCAATTTGTATCTTTAAAAGATGTTTTTTACAATAAATCAAAACACATATCACCATTGGGTGGTTTTGCTGAGTTGTAGAATATATGGATCACTCACTGGTATAAGGGTTTAAATTCTATCTCCAAATCCAGGAAGGTATCGAATGGGTAAAGCATTATAGATATTGACTCGAGTATATCTTCCATTCATGACTTGGTAAGCCACAAAAAAATCATTGACTAAATGCATATACAAAAATGTAAAAATAAAAAAGAAAATCGACATATACAAATTCACTACCTAGTAGACATATCTTCCGAATTGAAACAACGGATGAGAGGTAGCGGTGCTACTGTGTCCATCCTTTTGCTCTCCAGATATCTATAACTTAAAAAATCAAAATCAACAATACAAATCATAAGAACAAAAATCGAAGCAGATTCAGAAAATGTTACCATTATGGATTTAAACTTAAATCGAAAGGTTTTATAGATTGGAACTTCATAGTTGAAACATAATAAAAGAAACATAATCTAAAACGTACCCAAAATCGATCTAAACTACGATCAAATTAAAGTAGAATGCAAAGAAATTTATCTCTATATCATTCCTCCTTCTTTCATGATGATCGAACACAAGACTAATCTACACAAATCGAAGCTCACATATATTTTATTTCTTCTTTCCCCCATTTTCTTTTCCACTACAAAACTTAGGTTAGATAAATTATGTAAAGAAAAAATGGAGAGAAGGTAGGGGTACTTAAAATGAGGGATGGGGCAGGGCGTTTTTTCATTTTATTTCATTTCTGGTGAGATTTAACTGTTATTAATAAAATTCATAATTTAATTCATTTTATTTTTGGTGAGATTTAATTGTCATTAATAGAATTCTTAATTTAATTCATTTTATTTTTGGTGAGACTTAATTGTCATTAATAGACTTTCTAATTTAAAACGTAATATATCTTTTATAAAATTTGTGGACAAAAATAAAGGGGTTGACAAAGATGATGTCAGCAAATAATCCAAGGGTAGAAAATATAGTATTGAAATGGAATCAATGATCCTGATTTCTTCAATTTAGAATTAAAACTTCTCTTTTAATAATATTTAGAGATATCTAATTATGTGGTTGAGAAGAAACTTACAAATACTTACAATATGGGAATAAGTCGTGATGTATATATTTCTAGACAAGATTTTTTTTCTTTTATTAAATTTAAGTCAATCTAAATTGTATTATCATTTTCCTAAAATATTACTTGATATATCATATATCCTTACTGCTGCAACCTTTTCAAAGAAAAGGCAAAAATTCATTTTTTTTTTTAGTCGTAAAATATGAGTCAAAATATATTATTTTTAAAAATAATAGATTTTTTTAATTAATATTTTTTTTTTGTTGTGGAGACAGCCGCCCCTGCCCCCACTGCCTTCGGTGTAGGACCGTAGTTAAAGCCCATGCTTATGAGTTGAAGCTAAAAGCCATCAAGCCATCGTTGACGGACGGAGGCTAGACACTTCCAACGAATATAAAACATAATTCGAAGCGGCAAACTCCGGAGCACATTACACCGTGCGAAACAGAGAGAAGAAAAAAACCCAGCGGTGACCATTTATTATGGACGGAAAAAGCTCCAGCATTACCGCCGGCAAGCCTATCCGATGCAGAGGTAAGTTCGTCAACCTCTGTTTCAGAACTCTATTTTCATGGTTTTAAATTGGAGCAATGAACACTGCCTTATCGATGGATGCCACATGTCGAGCTCTTTTAATTTCTTTATAAAACTAATGGAGTTCTTTGCTGTGTTGTCGACAGCTGCGATTGCAAGGAAAGCAGGGGAGCCGCTGGTGATAGAGGAGGTGATAGTGGCCCCACCAAATCCTCGTGAAGTTCGAATCAAAATCATATGTACTTCTCTTTGTCATAGTGATGTTACCCTTTGGAAACTCAAGGTAGAGAGTCATTGGTTTTTGAAATCTCAACATGTTAGCATGTTTTACCGGATTTTATTTCCTCCAAGTGTTTTTATTGAAGTTTACTAATCACATTTTTTTTTTGTTAAGGATCCTCCTGCTATTTTCCCCATAATACTTGGTCATGAAGCTGTGGGGTAAACTTTTTTTATCCATGTACTGTAGTATATATGATCCAGCAAATTTCTATCGACTTGTTTGTGCGTGTGTGGCCCACATCGGCAATCGACTTTTGTGTGTGTGGCCCAAATTTCTAATTAGTCTGATGATAATTAACTGATTTAACTCTAAGTTGATTTTTTTTTAACAGCCACATTTAACTCTAAGTTGATGACTTTGTGTTAAATGTGGCCCACATCGGCCTACGATCCTATATACGTTCGAGTCTATCATTTCTCCATAATGACTTTATAATGAAAAGCTACTACTTTAGAAGTGTCACAATTTCTATTTTAACAGTTCCTTAATCCATATCGTAGAAATTGTGATAGTCCCTTAATAATCCATATCGTTATCACCATAGGACAACTTAATGATGTTTCTGAAAGTGCCCTTAAGGAGGGAGATGGAAGATTTCAGCATATATAGACACAATGTTTAGGGGCGGAGCGAGAATTTTATAATAGAGGGGGCTTTAATAAAATATTATAATATATTTATATCCAAATAACATAATAGGATCTATAAATTTGACAGAGAAATTGACAAAACAAAATCGTTTAAATAAAAATTATATCATTATTTACAAAAGTCAATTTTCAAGACCATAAGCACTTCCTTATACGAAAATACAAAGTTAGTATATAAATACGCTTTATTTTCATTTGAAAATATCATATATGTTTTTTTTGTTGCCCACGATTTACGTTGTTATTATAAATTGGTAAATTACGAATCATAACAATATTACTAATTAAAAAATACAAAAAAAATTGAATATGTAATATGACTTATAATTATATTGGTATTGGTATTGATTTTGGTATTGATTCAGTGTAACCAACCAAACATCAAAATTAAAAAACAAAAATTGCCGTTTACAATGAGTTGGCTTTAATTAATAAAAGAGCATTTGGTTTAATAGTTTATTGGACATTTGGAATTAAAGGGGATAGTAGTTTTTATGGGTTTATGAATTATTTAAGTGGGCATTCATAGAATGAATGAATGATTAAAAATTTAAAATTGTTGTCAGGAGGCAAAGTATCCGGTACTCCCTCCGCCATTGTGCATGTTGGAGTCTCCTCAATGGCTCCTTGTGTGAGAAAATCAAGACTCCATATATCTAACAAAAGAAATGATAATACATTTTAATTATGATTTATTTGTTATTGTCAAATATAATCAGATTATAATCATTTTATTTTTGTTTCACTAAAGGATAGTAGAGAGTGTGGGAGAAGGTGTACATGAAGTTGTTGAAGGTGACACTGTGATCCCAACTTTTGTGTCCGATTGTGGTGAATGTACTGATTGCTTATCGGAGAAAAGCAACCTATGTACAAACTTTCCTTTCACTTTTTCTCATTGGATGAGAGACGAGACAAGCAGATTCACAGATATCAATGGAGAAACTTTGTATCATTTCTTGTTTGTATCAAGTTTTAGTGAATACACAGTGGTTGATATTGCTCATATAACTAAAGTTGATCCAGCCATCCCAGCAAATAGAGCTTGCCTCTTAGGTTGTGGAGTATCAACTGGTATATTCTATCTTCTGATTATACACTTTTACTATTGAGGCTATAAGGGTCAACTTCAGAACTAACGTAACTTCTAAAGAAAAATTCTACCAAGAGAATCAATATGTTAGTGAATGTTGTAATAGAATCGATGACGACCATTCTAAACTTGGAAAGTTATTTGTTTTCCCTTTTAAAGAAAAACATGCTAGTTAAGATTCCACTTTAGAATGTTATGAATTCCTTAACTTTCAGGTTAGGAAATGATAAAACATATTAAGATTTCGAAGTAATCTACGAAAAGATAACGTGTTGATGATATATTAGTAATAAATCTGTAGATTTTGTATTTAGGATTTGCTAAGTTTGACTTTAAAAATTATACGCTTTTTCCATTGAATTTGAGTGTACGAAAATACAAAATGCTTTCAGGGGTGGGGGCTGCATGGAGAACAGCA